ATAAACGCGATTTATGACATACACAGCAGTATTTAAGGCTTCAGCCCAAAACTTAGGAGGAAGTTTCTTACTAAGGAGCATGACCCTAGCCATTTCTTGAACAACCCTGTTCTTCCTCTCAACAACTCCATTTTGTTGTGGAGTAATAGGAGAAGAAAATTCATGCTTGATTCCATGCATATCACAAAAATCCGAAAACGAACTATTTTCAAACTCACGACCATGATCGGTTCGGATTCTTATGATACGCCCAATGGAAACACCCTGTTCATTTTGGATTTTAAAGACTAAGGCCTGGAAAGCATCAAACGTATCAGATTTTTCCCATAAAAAATTTACCCACGAAAATCGAGTAAAATCATCAACAGTTAAAAAAATGTACCTTTTACCTCCGATGCTTTCAGTGCGAGTAGGACCCATTAAATCCATGTGAACCAATTCAAGAGGACGTTTGGTTGTAAAGCTGCATACCCCAAAGTCCCATTAACATATTTGATGATGAGTTTTACCGCAAGAAGGTGAGACTCTTTAGGACTGGCTTGGTAACGAGCACAAACACCGACACTGAAAGAAATATCAGGACGACTGGCTGTAAGATACAAAAGACTCCCTATCATACTCCTATAAAGGATGAGATCAACATCAATACCAGAGGAGTCTTTGGAGAGGTGAAGACTGGTGCTCATGGCTCTGATAACTCCGTGTATTTCTTGTCGGCGCGCCTTGCGCGCCTGTTATCCACTTGAAGCTACTCATTAGCTCGGTGTAGACATTAGTCGTTTGATCGGCGTGAATCCCGTCTTCTATCTCGTTTAGCCTGATTCCGTGATTCAGGGCTCCATGGTGGTACAACGTTTATCGGCTGCACGACTTCAGGTGGGGCCGACTTAGTGGCTTTGTGCCCGTCTTTGACCCGGAGGTCGTCGTCTTTTACTTTGTAGTACTCTTCAACTTTTTTCATCAACGACTAGACCATTTTTGGGGGCCGTCTGGTCAAAGAGCTACGGAGGGCACTGTCTGGATGTAACCCCATCTTGAAGGTGGTAATAGCCATGGAGTCATTGCAGGCATCATCTACTAGATTAAAACATTTCCAATACCGCGCCGAACACGCTCGAAGGGTTTTCCCCGGTTGGATTTGCATTGCCCACAGTGAATCGGCTTGCTTCGGCTATACCTCATTAATGATGAACCTTGCCCTGAAGGATTTTTGGAGTTGGTGGAAGCTCTTAATCGATGCCGGCTCCAGTTTATTATACCACCTAACAGGCAGTGGTCCTAAACTACTCGGAAATATTCGACACATGAGGGCCTCGTCGTTTGCATGAAGCGTCATGGCTTGCTTATAATGGCGAATGTGATCAGTGGGATCTGATTTACCATCATACAAGGTGAATGATGGTGCTTTGAACTTTTTGGGTAGCATTGACCTGGCAATCCGTTGTACAAAGGGGTCATGCTGATCCTCTTCATCTGAATCATTTCATCGTCGCTTCTTCCGTGCACGCTGATCTCCCTCAGAAGAACTGGAGACTTCGACCTGCCTCTTTTTTTTGGGGTCTGGGGATGAGGAGTCAGAATCACTGTCACTATCTTGTCTCCGAGTTCGAGGTCATTGGACATCCTTTCTCAGAGGTTGTGCCCGATCTTGGCGTGCAGACTATTGGGATTTTGCCACCTCTAAGGACAAATCCTGTCGAAGGCGCTCGTTTTCAGCCATCATGTTCTCCAATCTCTGTTCATTTTGCTTCGCCTGATCCATAATTGCTTGTATTGTTTCATCAACTGAGTCGAAGCTCAAGGCTCTTCGAGCAGTAATGTTTTTTGTTCCCAGCATGGTGCTTGGAGTTGTAACGACTGGTGGCGTAAGGTTGTCAGTGACTGCCGGAGGATCTTCCGTCACGCTCGCCATGAATGTGCTAGAGTATTCCCACAGACGGCGCCAATTGTGGGGAAGTAGTTATGGAAATACTCTTTTGATCCAATGGGGCACTCGAGATCCTTAGCTAGTAACCTGAAAAGGAATGAACACTCCGGTCGGGGGTGCCAGAATTAGCACTCCGACGGATAAGTCAGTATATACTCTCTCGATTGCTTGTCTCTTAAGTTAAGCATACTAGTTCTCATATACCTTTCTTTGACTGATGATCCTCTATTTATATTATTCCCCTTGGGCTTTAGGGTCGGGCCCATTCTTGATCCATTGCATGTACATCTACTCGGCTTTTATTCTACTGGTTGGAATGTCGATTATTGTATTCAGCTCTTCAATCGACTAGGATCAATGCCGAATAAAAGTTACGTTCTTGACTGATCTCATACCTACATTTGACACTATTGACCTCCAATTATTCGGTTCCCACAATTGCCCTCCAAAAAGCCCACTAGCATCAGTTAGTCGGCGTGTTTAGTTTTCGAACTTGGAAAGTCAAAAATTCAGCGGTTAATCCTCATCCCAATTTGTGTCAGAATGCACACGCTTGTTGGTCATCATTGCGATATCCCGCCCCTACGTACGCTGCCTCCATTTAATGTGATTTTAAATTTTGTCTTTTCGAATATGTGTTCTGAATACTCAAAAGTCTCTGGTTCAACTTCTAGAAGGTAGTTTTTTATTTTAATTTTTTTATCATAATGTTTATATTTGTGACATCATTCACAATTTGAATTTATAATATGCTGCAATTATAATGATATAGAATATTATAGGTGTGATCAAATTTATACACATTTTAAACTTGATCAAGTAAGAATCCATATCATTTTCTTGTCTTTTTTTGCTTAATTTATATTTTGTACACAATGATTTTTTTATTTCTTGTCTAAACTGATGGTGATAAGGAATTATGCAACTAAAATGGTGGAAAAACATATGAATTGTGGGAGGTTAGAAGCACTAATCAATCAGGTATGTGCCTAGGTCCTACATTCATTTCATAATAAATTACTTTTTTCTTCTTCTATGTATTTTTTAGACTTTAACCATCTGGGTATTGATCATCATGATGTGTAGATTATGTAGTTAGTTAGTACAATAAAAAAATTCTATTAAGATTTTATGTGATGTGTCCCCGTATTCGTATATATTTTTTGGACACTTTTTAGCTGAGTCCCCGTATCCTTATTTTTACGAATAGGTGAATCATCCTTAGCATGTCAACAATAGGCTCTATAAAACTCAAAAGGTAATCCAAGTCATCCCACCAAACATCATTTACTACGAGTTGCTTCACCTCATGAGCTTTAGTATCCACTGGATTCTTTCCATCTCCTTTTTAAATCTTCCATCCTGCATCCATCACCATTTTCTCTATTGCTGGCTTCACTTCCTTCAAACATTTAGCTGTGACAATGTGTGATGCAAAGGGTTGTAGAACCAAGGTTTGCATCACACATTGTCACGGCTAAATGTTTGAAGGAAGTGAAGCCAGCATTAGAGAAAATGGTGATGGATGCAGGATGAAAGATTTACAAAAGAGATGGAAATAATCCAGTGGATGCTAAAGCTTGTGAGGTGAAGCAACTCATAGTAAATGATGTTTGGTGGGATGATTTGGATTACCTTTTGAGTTTTACAGAGCCTATTAATGACATGCTAAGGGCTGCAGACACTGATGCTCCTGCGTTACATTCTATATATGATATATGGGACACCATGATAGAAAATGTGAAAGCAATTATATTTGAGCATGAAGACAAAGATAATATCACAGGACAATCAAATTTCTTTGACATGATTCATGAAATTTTAGAAGCTAGATGGACCAAAAGCAACACATCTTTGCATTGCATAGCTCATAATCTGGGACCGCGATCTCCGCTCGAGCTCAACACAGCCCGCTCGAGCGGACTGACCAAAAACTGCGTGCGAACAAACTGAGATGCGCTCGAGCATAGGAGAATCCGCTCGAGCGTAAAATCACACCCACCAGTATTTTTTGCTTGCCCTGACAAAATACTGAGACCTGCTAATCTACGCTCGAGCTCACAAGGCTCCGCTCGAGCAGACAGAACAAAAACACAAAAAATTACATTTGAATCAACACAATGTTTTGTCTCCGGATTTGACAACATAGGGACCTAACACCAATGATTACTAGTCTTTTAAATATGACATTAGTACAATGAGAATCAAACTTTTTCACTGCAAACTTTGTTTCCTCTGAATCGTTGCCATCTTGCTCTTGAATGATCTTCCATATAATGTAGCTGACGATTGTCTTCATTACATCATATTTCTCTGAGCAAATCATAATGGGAGGATGGATGAGCATCTTCTCTAATAATTGCAAATCATCATATTTCTCTAATGTTATATTTGGTTGGGAGATTTAGGAAAGGATTAGGAAAGGGAAAGAAAAAAGGTGTATGTAACTAGCTGAAATGTAAGTATATTTTATATATATTTCACCTAATTTTTTTATTTCTCTTTTCAAATCCTTCTTCAAATCCCCCAACTAAACACAGCGTAAGCAAATCAAGTCTTTTCTATTGTTTGATGCTCTCAACCATTTTTAGGACGACTGCCTTAATCCTTTGTAATTATTTGTTAATTGACTTTAAGATGTTTTTGTTAAGTTTCAAATGTTTTATTTTATATTTATTAATATTTATTGAAAACTCTAGTCATGGTTAGGTTTGACCAAGTCTTTGGGTATTTGGTTATTTGATTTCGTGGTTGAGAAAGTGATATGTGTGATCCTATTTTATAGGAGTTGTGGTTAGTGCTAGGATGTAGTGGTCTGATGTAAAGCCTATTTATAGGCCCTTTTCCTTTATCAATAAAACAAAGCTTTACCATTTCTACACATCTCTTTTGCTTTTGTTTTGACTTTGTATCAGTTTGTTTTAACTCTATATCAGTGGTATCATAGCAAAAACGTGTGAGAGAAAGCAAGAGAGAGAGACAGTTCCCAAACAACATCGATGGCTTCTTATTCAAATTTGTGCAGGCAGCGATCCCACGTTTTGATGGTCATTATGACCATTGGAGTATGCTCATGGAGAATTTTTTACGATCAAAAGAGTATTGGCCGATCGTTGAATTTGGAGTTACAGAACCAGCAACAAATACAGTCTTGACAGATACCCAGAAAACAGAGTTGGAAAGAAGAAAGCTCAAAGATTTGAAGGCAAAAAATTACCTTTTTCAGGCAATTAACCGTCCCATCTTGGAAACAATTCTTAGCAAAGAAACTTCCAAAGATATTTGGGATTCCATGAAGCAAAAATATCAAGGCTCTGCTAGAGTGAAGCGTGCACAACTTCAAGCTTTGAGAAGAGATTTTGGGACTCTACAAATGAAAAATGGGGAATCTGTCACCAGCTACTGTGCCAGGACTATGGAGATCAACAACAAAATGCGATTTCATGGTGAGAAGATGGACGATGTTACCATTGTGGAGAAGATATTGCATTCCCTAACCCCCAACGTTTGATTATGTCGTATGTTCAATTGAAGAATCGAAAGACATAGATGCATTCTCTCTTGATGAACTGCAGAGCTCCTTGCTGGTCTATGAACAGAAGATGAACCGAAGTTCAACATCAGAGGAGCAAGTTTTAAAGGCTTTTACCTCTACTCATTTCTCCAACTTCAGAGGAAGGGGTAGAGGTCGAGGTAGGGGAAGGGGAGATCGAGGCAATAAAGATGGCATCAGGTATTTCAAAGGTGATGATGATCAATTTCACGGCAAAGGCAAAGGACGAGATCATCATTTTGACAAATCCAAGGTAGAGTGCTTTAGATGTCATAAATCTGGACATTATCGTTCTGAATGTTATACTAGGCTGCCTAAAGACAAATAAAAGGAAGTGCAATCGAATTTTGCCGAAAAGAAGGAAGTGGAAACCTTGTTAATGGCTGTTCAAGCTAATCAGGAACCTGAGTCTGATGTTTGGCATATGGATACGGGTTGCAGTAACTACATGTGTGGAAGTAATTCTTCTTTTTCTTATTTAAATGAAGGCTTTTATTCTACAGTAAGTTTTGGTGATTGTTCCACTGTGACAGTAAAGGGGAAGGGTGATATTGAGATAAGAACCAAGAATGGTTTTGTAGAAACAATCTCTAATGTTCTTTACGTTCCTGACTTGAAAAGCAATTTGTTAAGTGCTGGTCAATTGCAAGAAAAAGGTTATGTAATCACTATTCAAAAGGGTGTTTGTGAGATTTATGATCCTACTAGAGGCGCTATTGCTATTGTGCAAATGAGTTCAAACAGGTTGTTTCCATTGAAGATTGAAAGTGCGCAACCTTGTTTGATGACTGAAGTAAAAGATCCTTCTTGGTTATGGCATTTTCGTTATGGCCACTTGAGTTTTGGTGGATTGAAGACCCTCTAACAGAAAAATATGGTGACAGGTCTTCCTCAAATTAGTATTCCTTCCTAAGTTTGTGAAGAATGTGTTGTTGGCAAACAACATCGTTCTCAATTTCCCCAAGGGAAGTCATGGCGAGCGAAAGGTGTTTTGGAGCTAATTCATTTCGATATGTGTGGCCCGATAACACTAATCTCTAATGGAGGTAAAAGATACCTAATTACCTTCATTGATGATTATACTCGAAAAACTTGGGTTTATTTTTTACAAGAAAAATCAGAAGCTTTTTGTGCATTTAAAAGCTTCAAGGCTCGTGTGGAAAATGAAACAAGAAACACCATAAAGACCCTCCGAACAGATCGTGGTAGAGAATATTGCTCAACCGAATTTGAAATTTTTTGTGAAATTCATGGCATTCAAAGAGAGCTGACAGCTACTTATACACCATAACAAAATGGTGTATCAGAGAGGAAAAACAGAACCATCCTCAATATGATGAGAAGCTTGTTGGCAAGAGGGAGAATTCCAAAACCTTTTTGGCCTGAAGCAGTAAATTGGAGTATTCACATCTTGAACAGAAGGCCTATATTTGCTGATCAAAATATGACACCAGAGGAGGCCTGGAGTGGAAGGAGACCAGCTGTAGATTATTTTAAAATTTTTGGCTGTATCGATTATGCCCATGTCCCGGATGAGAAAAGGAAGAAACTAGATGATAAAGGGGAAAAATGTGTCTTTCTTGGTGTTAGTGAAGTATCCAAAGCGTATAAATTGTTGAATCCACTAACCAAGAAGATTGTGACCAGCCGGGATGTTGTCTTTGATGAGGAAAACACTTGGGGTTGGAATAGGTAGCAACCTACTCAAGTTCTTTTTGACAATGATTCTGAAAGAGAGCCAACTCTAGCAGTTATTATGCCTGAAAATTCATTAGACGCAACTCTAACAGTTGCTGAAAATTTTCCAACAGCAGCAGAAGCTACTGATACAGCAGCTTAATCTCTTCGTCGTATTCGAAAAAGGCCCGCATGGATGGAAGGCTATGAGGTAAATGAAACTGAATTTGAAGATCCAATCACTCATTTTGCTTTATTTTTAGATTGTGATCCTACAACTTTTGAAAGTGCTATCAAAGAAGCAAAATGGCTGAAAGCGATGGATGAAAAAATTGACGCCATTGAAAGAAATGATACTTGGGAGCTTACTGATCTTCCGAAAGGGCACAAAACCATTGGTGTAAAGTGGGTCTTCAAAACAAAACTAAAGGAAAATGGTGAAGTTGACAAGTATAAGGCGCGTTTGGTAGCTAAAGGATACAGGCAGGAATATGGGATCGATTACACAGAAGTTTTTGCTCTCGTTGCAAGACATGATACAATCAGATTGGTGATCGCATTGGCAGCACAGAACTCGTGGCCTATTTTCCAACTGGATGTCAAATCGGCATTCTTGCATGGGAACTTGGAGGAACAGGTATTTGTAGAACAACCCCTTGGTCATATTAAGATCGGAAGTGAACATAAAGTGTATAGATTGAAGAAAGCTCTTTATGGATTAAAACAAGCTCCACAAGCTTGGTATAGTCGTATTGAGGCTTATTTTTTGAAAGAAGGCTTTCACAAATGTCCATATGAGCACACACTTTTTGTTAAAATTGTAGATAAGGGAACACTGCTCATTGTCTGCTTATATGTAGACGATCTTATATTTACTGGAAATGATGGTGTCATGTTTAAAGAATTCAAGAAATCTATGATGGTCGAATTTGAAATGTCTGACCTTGGTATGATGCATTACTTCCTTGGCATAGAAGTAGTGCAATCAGCTAATGGGATCTTTATATCTCAAAAGAAGTATGTGCAAGATATTTTGGACAGGTTTCAGATAAAGGATTACAATCCTGTAAGCACTCCAACTGAGTTTGGCTTGAAGCTAAACAAAGATCATGAAGGGAAGAAGGTGGACAACACACTTTACAAGCAAATTGTTGGCAGTTTGATGTATTTAACTGCAACAAGACCAGACATAATGTATTCTGTGAATTTAATAAGTAGATATATGGAGAATCCAACAGAAATGCATTTGTTAGCTGCCAAGAGAATCCTTCGTTACTTGCAAGGAACTAGAGATTTTGGGTTGTTCTACAAGAAGGGTGAAAAGTTAGAGTTGTTTGGGTTTACTGACAGTGATTATGCAAGAGATCAAGATGATAGAAGGAGCACTTCGGGCTATGTTTTTATGTTGCGCACAGGGGTGTAGACGTCTCCGAACACCCCGAAAGGGAATCCCGTTCTGTTCATTTGGGGCTCACTACAGTTCGGACTCAAATTGTCACGGTTCTTAATCTGATCTCACAATGTGCAATGTGAGATTGATAAATCACCAAAGAGTCCAAATCCGGTAAATCGTTTTTGAAAACAGATTTTTTTGAAAGAAGTGCCAAACATGGACTGCTTTGCCAGATACAGAGTCGCCACCTAAATATTTTTTATAGGGGAATTTAGGAAACCCTGACTCGTTTGCCTAAGGCCACGTGTTCATCATCACCAAAGTTTCCTCGGCTCGGGAACTTGGGTACGGTTGGGGAAGGTCAGCTATGAGCACCCCCGCTCGCCCGATCAAAGATCGACCTCTACTAATCATGATATCAAGTTTTGAAAACATTATGCGTTCTTATTCCGGTTATTTAGCTAATCTTACTATGTGATGTGCACAACACAAAAGTATAGATTAGATTGCCTAATTTGGAACAAAGCATCGCATATCCATTGTTTGGAAATGATTTGATTTGCTACTCGCAAGCAGGCTAAAATATGGATTTCGATGAATTATTCCAATTCAAACAACCCAACCTTCACCCACAGGCATTCAGGCAGTAAATCAACTAAGCGGTTAGCCTCATGGCAAGCATGCTTTCATGTTAACATTCACACTCATGCGAAATGCTAAAGCATAAACACTCACCTAGTACTCCCAGCCAAAACAAGGAACATGTTAGTAATCAAATGTATGATCCAAGTCCATGTTAACATGGCTAATGCATCGCAGGCAAAATGCAGCTAGAATAAGCTCGGCTAATCTATGGATGACATGTGAAATGCAACAGATAACATATATTCAAGTTAGATTTGAAATACTATGCAATTAGTATGATGCGCCGAGCCGGGTGCATGTAATACAAATGAATGAATGCACACATGTATAGTATAAGAATGCTAATTGAAATGTGCCCTAATACTAACCATCAAAAGCAAGTAAGTAAAAGGGAGAAAGAAGTGGGGGTTAGAAGACATGTACACACGCACTCACACTTATTACAGAATTCGCCCTCTCTCGGAGGGACCAAAAGAATAATACAAATTTAACTAACTAACAAGCTAATTAAATAGTTACAGACCACTTAACTAGTTAAGCAAATTAACTAAGCTAATAAAGTGGTAAAACAGCCTCTGGAAGAAGGTCCAATGCATGCGTGCTCGGTTCCACTCGAAAATCCACCACCATGCACAAGCTGCCTTTGTTTACACTGCTCTGTGCCTCTAAAAATTGCACAAGTCCCAAGGATGCTTCAGCATCACTCCCTGATCATTGTGGGATGCCACCGGCCATAAGGAATGGTCACCGACCATGGTAAAGTGGTCATCGACCAGTTGTATAGCTCTCGGCCAAAGATATTTAGTCGGCTGGCATTGAGAATGGTCGATCGACCATATCTTCCTGCAGAACCCTATTTTGACAGCAGCAGAGGGCAAACAAGGCATGGCAATGCATTTTAAAGCAAATGTCTGCACCACCACACTCCTTATCACGTTTGTGACTCAAAGGAGTTTGGTACTCGACCCTCGGACCATCAATCGCGCATTTCAATGCGTGATGGCCAAAGAGGCCAAGTGTGTCATTTCAATGTCAAATGAAGTGCACATAAACAAATAATGGGCCTAACCCCTATTATGGTGATTCAAGAGGCAAGGTATGCATGCAAAATGCAACCTAAGCATGCGAGCTAAGTATGCAATATGAGCATGCAAATAAGCAATGTGTACTAGGCATACAACCTAAGCAAGCAAGCATGCTTGACATGTAACAATAATGCTAATGACCAACATGCAACAACATGTGAGGGGGACTTAGCATAGGAACATGTAAAGCAACTTAACACAAGATGCATGCCAAATGAAACACCACTTAAACATGCAACAACATGTTAATAGGCTAAGCATCTAAACATACAAACATGTATAGCATGCAACAACATGCCAAAGGCCAAGCGTGTAACAACATACAAGGCAAGCATGTAACAACGTGCGAATGATGGACTTACACCAAGATGGACAGTTCTCTACTAGGCCCAAAACAGTGGCCAAATGCTATGGAAATGAGGTCAAATTTACATACAAACATGCATGCAAACGTGGTCCAACATTTAAGCATAAAAGAGGAACTTTTAAGCGCACTTAAAAGGAAACAAATATGGAAAAATGGTAAGC